CCCTGGTCCAGCCACCGCAGCATCCCGAGCTGCCCACTGCGGATGGGGAAGCAGGAAGGGCCCCAGGAGTGTTCAGTGCTGGATTCTCTCCTCTCACTACGTTTTACAGCTGCTGGCTAACTCAGCCACCCTCCCGAGGTGTTGATGCTGTTCTCATTATCTCCAATGCAAAACAGAGCCAAGAAGAAGAGGGAAGGAAAGAAAAAAGCCTCCTTTAAGAAGAAACCCACACACTAACCCTCTTCCAGCCCCCTCCCTCGCCTGTTCTGAGGCACAATGATGGATTGAAAAGGAATAGTTGCAGGGGTGGAGAAGGGCTGCAGAGAGACCAGAGCATGGGAAGTGACCACAGCCCAAATCACCTAACACAACCCCATGCCAGTGATTTCCTTGCTGAGAGGAGCCTACTGTGCGTGCCTTAGTGCCTGTGTAAGGGGCCTGAAAAGATGATTTTGCATGGGCTGGTTTACAAGAACAAAACGGCTCAGTTCTATGGAGGCACAGACCTAAAAGAGAAAGAGAGGACAGAATAGAAGTGAACAGGGAGAAGACAAAACAGGATGGACAGTATAACTTGAAGGGAGATGCTTGCAAAGCAGCCCTGTTCCCAAGTAGTCACAAGGAGAACTGAGGCTGCAGGAGTGGATGCAATTCTTCCCTGGGTGTAATTAACAGTGTTGTCACAGACATGAAGAGTCAGAGGAGAGTTCTGGACTGGCTGAATGAGAATTCCAATAAGAACCAAATGACATTTTAAACATACGGAGCATCTGCAGCACGCTGCATGTTGAACACCAGCCAGAGCAGCTCTCTACCATGGACATCGCTATGGGAATGAGTTACAAAGGCTCAATCCTCACAGCAGCACCCCAAGACCCCCTTTTGCCCCCTCTATATCCTAGGCTGGGTGACACAGCACCCAAAGGTGACCACCCCAGCTCAACATGCACCCAACTTTGCTGCACACAGAGGAAGCAGCCCCAGAGCTGAAGAGGCAGCAGAAAAGCCATTGAATGTCATAGTAGCACAGGCACCAGCCATGACCACTCTCAGCAGCCCAGGAAGCTGGTGGGATGCCCAGCAAGGGTTTGGGATGGATGCTACATACACACATGGAGGCCCAGTCATCAGCCTTGCTTTTACTGCTGGAACAATTGCTATGAGGGAGAAGAGCATCACCCACACACTTCTATCTGTAACTATCTATAGTATTAGGAGGAAAACTAGATCTTTTCTTATCTCTCAGGGGCTTTAAGGGTCAACATGTAGATCCATCCTTCTAAAAGGCTTAACAACCCCCCATATACATGCTAGTCCATAGATATTAAGGCAGGCACTGAAGGAAGGGGGGTTCATGGTCCCTATTTTCCATGTCACCTGCAAAACTGAGGGAACAGCACACTCAGGAGCAACCACACGTGCACAGAGCAATTGTTTCTTCAAGATGATGCTCTGGGATGAAGGTCTCAAGCTCCAAACAGGACCTTCTGTTATAACAGCATGTGCTTACCGTACCCAACACCACCAGGCTGCACTGTGGATCATACTTGGAAAGCCAACATGGCTTTTCCCAGGAGGTTCAAAGTCCACACACATCTCCAAAGCCAGCAAAGCAGCCTCAGCCAGGGCAATAGCCCCAGTGCTAATGCAAATCATGCCACAAGCGAGGTGTTACTGAAGAGGAGCTCTGGGTTCTCATTAACCAAGGCTCCAACACAGGTTTAACGTGCACTTCCTTCCACCCAGCCAGCTCAGCGCAAAGCCAATGCCGCCCCTCCCACATCACCCACAAAAAGCCCTGATTTTCCTCAAGTGCAGTGGGGATCAAAGGGGAATGTGAGCCACACACACAGGGGAAGGAGTTCGCGGGGATTAGTCAGCTGTTGAGCTCCATAAGAGTGTGCTTGGTGGCTGTGTCAGGGCAGAGCATGGCGAGGAGAGCGCTGCACCTACCACAGAGCCTGCTTGTGGTGCGTCTTGGGATGCTCTTAGACCTGCATAGTGACCCCAGCTCTCTTCTTCATGCAGGTCCACCATTCAAGGCACAAATACAGCAAGCCCCAGACTTATCATAGAATCATAGAGTGGTTTGGGTTGGAAAGGGCCTTAAGATCATCCAGATCCAACCCCTGCCATGGGCAGAGACGCCTCACCCTAGACCATGTCGCCTCAGCACCCTCACAGTAAAGAACTTCTTCCTTATCTCCAACCTGAACTTCCCCATTTCTTTCCCCTGGAAGCATCATCCAGATGTCTTGAACAAGAGGAAATCCACTCCCGATGCTACAGAGCATTGCATGCTGTCTGGGGCCATCTCCCTTCCCATGCAGAGGCACCAGAAGATCCTCCTTCATCCAAGGACTCAGTCCAAGCCTATGTCCCAGCATCCCACACCTGTCCCAGTGTTGTTCAGCACCAAAACCTTCCTCCAGGCACCCTCAATGCTAAAGGCTTAGCTGAAGCATTGAACTACAGCTGCTCAAAGCATTTAGACCACAACTAAGTGTAACCCAAACACACCGGTTTTACTCTAACCTGAGCTGTTTCACAGAGATGCCCTGGTTTGAACTCCCCTCTTAGGCAAGATTGTGATGCCTGGGATTTTTCCAAGTGACAGGAGGGGAAGACACTCAAAACATCCATGTTTTTCCACTCAGCTGCCACCATTCTTCCAATTCTTTCTGCAGAAACACTCCAAAGTTTGTTTTCCAACTCAAAGTGCAGCAAAGAGCAGTGTTCTGGGCAGCTCTGCTTTGAACCCTCCTGTGGGGAACTGATGGGAAACAAGTCCTGGAGCTAAATTCTCACACTCAAGAGCTCAGAAATGGTTCCCAGGGTGGCAGGAGCAGGTTCTCATGCCTGGTTTTGCATGGGCTTCCATGGTTTGCATGGGTGAGCCGAAAGGGACTTCTACAGACCTCAGGAGAGGCCTGAACTTCAAGTAGGGCTTGAGGGAAAACATGGTTTTGATGGTCAATTTGTTCCATGCTCTACAGCAAAACTGCTATCACATAGACAGTCCAACAGAGCCCATGGCCCTGAGCCACTGGCTGATCCAACAGCATCCCAGTGAGCCATCAGGAAGAGGGGAGTCCCTGAAAGTCATCTTGCCTACAAGAAACCTGGAGAGGGGCTTTGGACAAGGGATGGAGGGACAGGACAAGGGGAATGGCTTTAACCTGCCAGAGGGGAGATTGAGATGAGCTCTGAGGCAGAAGCTCTTCCCTGTGAGGGTGCTGAGGCGCTGGCACAGGGTGCCCAGAGAAGCTGTGGCTGCCCCATCCCTGGCAGTGTTCAAGGGCAGGTTGGACACAGGGGCTTGGAGCAACCTGCTCTAGTGGAAGGTGTCTCTGCCTGTGGCAGGAATAGGTCCCAATTCTACATGGACTCTACAGTATTAGGAGGAAAACTGTATCTCTCCTTATATTCCAGGGGCCTTAAGGGACAACATCCTTCACCACAAACAGGAAACAACTAGCTCAGCCACTCAGCTCATATCCAGCATGTGCAAAACGAGCACGACAAAGAACACAGCAAAGTAGTGAAGCCAGAATTCTTCCAAGTGTTTGCTTAACAAAACCACACGCACTCTTCTTTCTCCTCCCTCCCTCTCCACTAGGTGCAAGGAAGGAGAAGGACTGATACCTTTCAATACATGGAATATAGATAGATATATATATTATCCCTCCCACTTGCAAACACCACTCAAGACACTGCCTCTTGAGAGCCACTTTGCTGAACCAGCCCTTTCCCAGCCTCTTAGACCATGGGTTCGGTCATTTACCTCTGTCAGCATTCCCAGCTGGAAAAAGGGGTTATGGCCTCTCCTTTGCACATCCAAGGGGAGGAGGGAGCCAATCTGCATGTTTATTTGTTGTCTGTGCAGAATTCCTGCATTCTTTCCCTTGTTTACTTATCTGCTCCCAGGACATACTCAGACCCCAGCAAAGGGCTTTTGGGGCACCACATTCCAGCATGAGCTTGGAGCTCTTGCTGGAACACATAAGCATAAAGGGGGAAGAGAGAAGCCAGTGAATGGGTTATTACAGGAGTATGTTTAAGGTGGTTGGGCATCCAGATCTGCTCTCCATAGAGGCACATTTCCATACCTGAATGTCTAAGACACTATTAATGAGCACATATGGGCTGTCTCCCCCTCAGCTCTTCCCAACAGCTATGTTGTTACACCCACAGCACCACCAGTAACTCAGCCACCCTCACATCAACATGATGCACATGTACTCCATGAGCACCACACAACATTCCGACCTGCCTCATCAGAGAGCTTTTGGGAGCAGACAAAGGATCCAGAGATTAATGTGCAAGGGATACAGGGCTTCACCACAACACAGAAGCACACCTCATACCCACCCCAATCACTTAGCTGCTCAGCTTAGTTCTTAGTTACACCTTGGAGAAGCAAGCTTTGCCCATAAGCAGAACCTGGCTGGCTTCTTGGATCTCTGCAGGAGTCCAGAGGGCTGACTTGGAAAGCAAGGAAGCTCTGAGAGGAAGCTAGGAGTGACTGCCATGAAGGACAGGCCTTCACAAGATTAACCCATTAACTTGTTATCTCTAAACCTATAGGAAAACCGAACTCAGGTGTGAGGAACCTAAATTCCCTTCTAAGTGCCTGCAACACACCTCTATTAGGACTTGCAGTGGGGATGCTCCCAGCCACATCGGGGTCACTGCAGAGAGAGCCTACATCAAATCTGGGGTAAGAACAACATAAAACAACCTTGCTTGGCTGTACCTTGGTTGCAATCACCGCCTCTGACAAAAAAGTCAATGCCAGGCACTGTCCCTGTGACAGCAGAGCCCACAGAGCAGCAAGATCATACCCTGGACCCACATAGAACTGCTCCACCTCATCCCAATCACAGAACGGTTTGGGTTGGAAAGGACCGGGAAACCAACCATTTACCAGCCAAGAGCACACGATTCCCACTGGACCCACTTGCTCAGAGCACCACAGAGCAGCCACATTCCAGCCTCACCTTCCACGCAGTGCTCCACCTCCTCCAGGTTGCGCAGCGTGATGCGCATGAGGCTGGAGTTGAGCATCAGCTCGTTGCGGTGCGCCGGCCACATGTACTGCGGGGCAGGGTTGACGAAGAATATCCTCGTGTCCCCAGTGGAGACCTGGTTGTCGCAGATCAAAGGGTCCCCAAAGCCACCGATAACCACCTTGTTCCCACCATCCAAGAGGATCTCGTGAGTGACGATGTCTTTGCCTTTCAGGTAGCGCCACACTCTCACCTGGAATGAGAGGGAGGAGCATGTGAGACCATTCCACACACAATGAGCACTCTCTGGCCCTGGTTTAGTTTCATCAAGCTGTCACAAGATGCACAGGGGTGGTTTGGGCTTCCAATAGAGCTGATTTCATTAGACATCCCTCTACAAGCACAGAACATGAATAACAAAGGCAAAAGCAGATGCAAATCTTTGTGCCAAAGCTGTGCCCAACTCTCTACCCATTACTAATAAAGAATCCAAATGGATAGCAGGAGATCCACTCTTGGATTAGAAGCAAGATCCAACTCTCCTGCCACTGATTCTTCCCATGTAAAGAAGCTGTGATCCACCATCCACAGAACACAGGGACATGATTCAAGCCCTACCAAGGGCAGGATGCTGGTGTTAGCAGCATCATTGGAGGTGACAGTCTCCAACCTGTACAGTTCACCCTGATTCACACCAAAATCTCAGTGGTGAAATACATCAAGGGAGAAGAAAACACTTCTGAATAAAACAAAAGGTTTGATGGGAACACTCAATGGCTGGAAGCTTCCAGACAGGGAAAGCTGCAGAGCATCCATGGGGGAGGCTTTGAGCCTGAAACAGGGGCAGGAGGAGGCAGATGGGTTGGGTGAATGAAAGGAGGGAATCTTCTGGCTCTGACAGGGAAGACAAAAGGCAGAGCAGATAACATGCCATGTAGAAATGTCAAAAGCAACTTATGTTCAAGTTTCTTTACTTGTTGAACTTCTGAACAAGTAAAGAAAACCTTTGCCTTAGCAGGCTGGATTTACTAAAACACATAGAGGATTTGGCAGGAGGAGCCTGTTCTCTTTACTCATCCAAACTCCAGGAACTAAAATAAGTCCTGGCCACTGGAGCTGCCAGCAGCTCTAGAACAGTCTCCTTGGACTTCATCACTGGCTCATCCCCCTGCCCAAAACAGCAAGATCTGGACACAAATACAAGCCAGCTTCTCTGTGGCAAACTGAAATGGATCTTTAGTGCATATGGGACACCAATAGCATGTCCCCATCCACAGAGAGGTCAGAAACCCTCCTCCTGCTGCAGTTCTATAGCAGGGACAACACAAAGCTGAGTTGGTGAGTTGCATATAATAGCATCTCATCAAAGAGCTGCCTGAGGTTTCAGCTTGGAGCAAGGGTGGCTGCTGCAGTGCATGGGCATTACGGTGACCACAGGCATCCCTGGCCCTGCTTATCACACTCCCTGCCAGCATCTCCCCTCCCAAAGCAGCCCAAGAGCCCAGTCATCTGCATTCTCCAGCTATCTACACAGCCCAAAGAGCACTTGAGCACCCTGTGCCAAGCACCAGGGCAGCCAGGGAGGTGGCAGCTCATACACAAGGGGTTCTTGATCCCCTCTCTGGAGCAGGCACACACGTATGTACTCGAGGAGTGCAGGTCCAAGGGGAATGCGAGGGGCAGAGAAAGGATGCTCATGTGTTGAGGTTGAGAGACCTGTGCTCATTCAGCCTGGAGAAGGCTCCACAGAGACCTTAGAGCAGCTTCCAGTGCCTAAAGGGGCTGACAAGGAAGCTGGAGAGGAGCTTTGGACAGGGACAGGTAGTGATAGGACAACTTCTATGCTTGACATAGGGGTTTACATTAGGGGACTTGTTATAGCTGATGAGGAAAGCACAGAGCAGACATCATCCTGCTCAAGAATGAACCACGTTTATAGTTATCTGCAAGTGAAAATTACTGTCATCTGCCCTGAGCAGCCCTTCAAGTGCATTGTGTGGGCTTGAGATTGTTCAGACACACTCTTACTCTGTATCAAACACCTCCATCCCATTACTCAGTGACTACAGAAGACACACACAATGACCTGATACACAAAGTTCAAGTAAGAGGGTAAAACCATGCTGGGGGCAAGGGGGAATGCAGCTCTCGTGGCCTTTAATCAGTCTTGTCATTGAAGCCCTAAATCCAGAACTTCAGGGGTGTGAGCTCAGTCCTGATCAAGGTCCACAATGCTTTTGAGCCTAACTCCAACACACTGTCCCTGCCACAACTAGGAGCAGGCAGCTATAGGTGCTGGGGCAAGCGAACAGGGCCATTCCCATAGGAGCAAGCAGGCTGGGCTGAGACCCTCCTGCTCAGCACAAGATCCTCCTGTCAAGCATAAAAAGGGTACACATTGAGTGTTGCTTTTACTCTTCAGGCACATCTGAAGGTTAAGAACAAAGTCCAGGAGTGTATTTTGTTCTCACATCCTCCTGCTCCTCACACCTTCCCCTTAAGGTGTGATATTTGCCCACCTTGCAAAAGGAATCTGGGCTTGATGGGTCTCAGCTCCCACCCAGCCCAGCAGGTCCTGTGTGTGTTACTGGCGAGAGCCTTGTTCTCCTGCATACCTGAGATCAGAACCCATCCGAGGCATCAGACCCCCTGTGAGAGCTCCTGTGTGGAAGCTGTGAATGCCATAGCTGCTCCCCGGTTAGCTAGAGACATCCTACCCATGTGCTTCCACATTCATCTGTCTTCCAGCACGGAGTCAGCTCCCCTTGGGCCAGGGCTAAGCAATGCCCCAGCAACCAGGGGACAAGCAGTAACTTACACACAGGGTACCAACCCTCCCAAGCTGCTGGCAGGGGGGGAGAAGAGGGGATGAAACAATGAATTCAAAGCCATTCACACAGCTTCTTTCAGCCCAAAAAGCCCTCTTGAAGAGCTGCTCGGTTGTACCCAGCCTGTCAGCACGAGCTCTATTCTTGAGAGAGATGGCAATCAACCAGCAAGCAGAGGGAGCTTCAGATGGCAAGGCAGGGTAGCTGTGACAGGCAGCTTCCCTCCCCTCCGATCATCCAGGAATCCCAGCATCCACACAGACATCTGCTCCACCACATGCAGGCGATGCCGCGGGAGGCAGCCCCCTTCAAAGAGCCAGGCTGCGGCCACCAGCAAGCGCGGCACCTCCAAGGGTGTTAAGGAGCACGGCTTCAGCGCTACCACCATCCTCCTGCTCCCCATCAGCAGTGCAGCTCCCCGCCCGCGGTCGTGCTCCTGCCCACAGTCAAGTCAAGACACCTTCCTGCAGCCCCACCAGCTCCACCTCCTCTTCCTCCAGCAGCAGCAGCAGCCGCAGGGCAGGCGCTGGCTGCGAGCAGCGAGGTGCACAAAGCAACCAGGGCAAGAACCCAGCTACACAAAGGAGACAAAAGGTAGGAGAGGGGGGGATACACGCAGGGAGCAGGCAGCGAGCACAGCCCGAGGCTCGTGGTGGGAGACAGCAGCGGGGCACTTCACAGGTAGCTCTAAGGAAGGGGAATGCCTCCCCCTTGTTCTGAAGCAGATGGTGATCTGATTTAATTGGCATGGCTGTTGTAGTCATGCACCTCAGAGCCAGGCCACAGCGTTCGCAAGCAACAGCAGAGTCCACCAGCTTTCTCCCCACCCTTACTCCCCTTATAATGAATGGATGGGAAGGCACCAAAGACCAAGCAATTACCTGTAGGGCATCCCATTCATCATCACAGGCAATTAAGACTGTCGGGGGTGACTCACCGGCTACATCAAGGATGGGGGAAGAAAAGGCAGAGAGAAAGAATTGGGCTGGAACCTAGTTCCAAGAGGTGCCTTCCCTAGAGCAGACTAACTCACTCCTTGCCAGCGAGCACATAAAACACTGAATTAAGGCTGTTTTACAAGACTCCTGGCAGCTGCAGGGAGGTAGAGTGAAAACTTTATTTAAGCTGATCCTTGCAAGGGTATTTTAAGTGCTGCACAAAACCAGTGAGTAAAAGGGGTTTCCAATGTGTTGTTGGTCCTATTCCACATGAGGGAATGGGACCACCTGTACAGGCATGTGCAGTGCTAAAGGATTCCTGCCAGGAAGATGCTTTAAGAAAGAAGATAAAGCTTGTAAAGAAAGGTGAGGAGTTAGAGCATAGTCTCATAGGAAGAGAGCTGTCACTCTGCGCAGAAGTAGGGTCACCACTACTATTAGCATCAGTTCTGCTTGCAGCTTCACACTCAGCTCTGTCAAACCCTTTGTCATCCTTCTCCCCTTTGCTTGTCCTTTTCCATGCCTTTTCCTGTCAGAAGTCAGCACCTCTTCCCCTAGGAGCAAGCAGAACCAAACCCACCTCCCCCAGCAACTTCCACGTCCAACCCTTGCTGGAGAACAGCTGCTGTTACCCCCCAAAATACAGGCTCTATTGTTTGGAACAGGATCTGCATCCTTGGCAACACTTCCTATAGAACCTGTATTTGTCCTATAAATAGGGGCTCCCTTCATAAATATCAGGTCAGAGCAGAACAAGGCACATCAGAGGGCTCAAAGCAGGGGCAATGCCAGCAGATAGGCTGCAAATGGGATGAACAACAGGACCAAAAGCTTGGGAAGAGCAAGCCAGGAGCCAGCACAGAGCCCAGGTCCCCATGCCACATCCCTCAGTGAACATAAACCAGTTTCAATGTGAAGAGATCTGTCAGCCTGTTCTTCCTTCTTATCCATCTCCTCTAACAGCAAAGGAATGGCTGTTAGCTCTTCACAGGTATTCCTCTAACATGAACTTCACATTACTTATCAGCTGCAATGTGCTTATCTTCATCTATCAAAGGCTTCAGCTGGGAGGGTTAGGGTTTAACTGGGGCCAACAAGACACCAGTGCAGCACTGGGAGATCCCTGCTCCCTCCCAGACCACCCAATAACACTGTTTTGGGTGTGGGCTCTCGGGAACTCCCACCACACACTTGGCCCTTGCCTTTGCCCTTCAGATAAAGAACTGACAAGAGATAACTGTGGTATTTGGAGGCAACCCCAGGGGCTAAGAACAGTTACCAAGTATGACAGTGAGGAAGTGGACGTGTATCTTCTCACCAGCTAAGCAGCAGCATCCTTTCTGCACCTGGGTTTATTCCATCTCCACAGAGCACCAGGAGCCAGTGGTCAGGTTTACTGCCCAAAATGCCCTTTTGGGAATTGAGGTGTTTGGTCAAAAACCACCCAAACCAACCCAAAATGCAGGCGTGTCCATCCCTGCACCAGCAGAATCACAGCAATGTCAATACTTTGAGAGAGAGAATAATACAACCATAGAAAAGTTGGGGTTAGAAAGGGACCTTCAAAGGTGCAACCCCTTTAGATCTTAGGGTGAAATAAGCCATAAGCAATACACTCTAAGTCAGAGTAAGGAGAGATTTATCTGCTCCCACGTCCTTAAAACACCCCCAAGTCCCATTTCAAAGTGCTTTTTCCTGCAAACACCCTATGAATATACTATTAAGAATTACACAGAAAGGACTGAAGAGCCACTGTGCTAAGAAACTGCTGAGTGTGACAGCATGACCAGGAGATCCAGCAGCACTGCCACAGTGAGATGGGACAGACACCTCCATCTAGGGTAGAAGGTTTTCTCCTTTCACTTTCTTTTACAGGGCTGCAAAGGTATCTTGGGAGCATGTTCTGGCCTTCAAGTGCCGTTATGACACCAGTTATTAACTCTGGAGTCCTGTGTCTCTTGTATCTTGTCTCTTTGCATCCCTGCCAATGGCAGGGGGTTGGAACTGAATGATTTTAAGGTCCTTTCCAACCCAAACCATTCTATGAGTCAGTAGCACAAACCTTCTCCACCACATTCCTTGGGATGGCTCAGGGAGCAGCAGGCAAAAGACTCTGTTCCCAACCTGAGCAATGCAAACTGTATTCCACATAAAGCCAGGTTCCTCCCCATTGCTCCCTAGCTGCTCTTAGACTTGACTGCACCCTTCCAAAGGCAGAGCTGCTGAGCAAGCAGGTTCTCCATCACAAGCAAAATGCTTTTCCTGACCTGAAGCCTTGCTCTGATACAGGCAGATGAAGCCGGACACCACACTGCTTGTCCACAGTGGAAGGAAAGTGCCCTATTTCTTAGGTAAGCATTTCTACCCCATCACCAGCCTTACTGGACCACCTCCTATATGGCAACCCCTGCCCTGGCATCAGGTGGCCCGCATCCATCCAGCCATATGTGCCCCAAGCTGCTGCAGGACACCGGCTGTTCGCAGCAGCTTATTAGTTTTCCACATAGCACCCAGGATGTGCCAGACACTTTGCAAACATACGGTCCCTGCTCTAGCCTGGAGGGTCTGGGATCTCATTTACAAGGGGACAGATTGTACCGTGTTGTATCCCGACAGGCAGAGCAGTGGGAGCAAAGCATGAAGCAGCGGGCACCAGCTGGACGGACAGAAGCTGTTCAACTACTTTACTAAGCAGAGATGCTCCAGAACAAGAGGGTAAAGCCGTGGTATAAAGTTAACCTACCTTTGCACCGCTGCTGTGCATCACCCCCAGGCCCTGCTTAGCACTAACCACAGGCAGGAACCGCAGCACTTTTTAGGGATGAGCAGAAAAGGGGATTGGGAGGGGGAGAAGAAGAGGGAAAGGCAATGTAGCAGCATGTCCTCACAAGTGAGATTCCTGCCCCGGGAAGGGTTAAGCCATACAGCACGTTTTCTGACAACCAGGCGGATGGTATTTCAGGTTGCTCAGTACTTTAAGAGTCTTTCGGCTTAGAGGAGGAGGGGGGAGAGGGGAAAAAAAACATAGCCAGAGGCCAGATTCGTAGTTAAACAATAGCTTGAGCTGGAGGAACTCAAGATGCTGCTAAAGTCAACAGGGATAGAGCCAGAAGCGGCTCCCACCGCCCCGCCGGGGGAGAAAAGTTGGGATCCCGCTCCTCATCCCGGGAACGGAGGGGAAAAATGCCCATAAAAAGCAACCTTGAGAGATTCCCTTGGGCACAGCGGCGGGAGCCCCGGCGGGGAAGAGCCTCCGCAGGCTAAAAATACCTAATTACACACCAAAGCGTACAATAAGAACCACATGCGGCCGCCCGAGCAAGCGCCTGCCCGGGGCCGAAACTTTCCCTGCAGCCCCCCCATTCCTATTCCCAAATGGTTACCTTGCAGGAATAGGTGTGATGGACGGGATCCACGTTCATGATCTCCTCCACCGTGCCCGTCAACACCACGTTGGCT